AATCTCTTAGTTTTAAGTGTTAAAACAGCCAGTGGTTTTGCCATTTTTCAATAGATTTCTAATGTGTACTTGTATCCGGCATGGAAAGCCAGTGCTCCTACAGCACTGCTTCTGTAAAGCACTTCAACTTCCTTGGCATTTCCAAATAGCTGAAACTTAAGTGAGAATCTATAAAAATACCAATAGTTTCTAAATTCCTGTAGTGTTTGTTAAAAACTTTTTCTTTGCTTTCTGAAGTAAGTACATCGTGGGCCACATCAACAGGCCTGCTCAGTACCTTAGGAAGTGGTGTCTACATGGCCACTCACCCGGCAAGGTGGGAAGCCCCAAAGCTTTTAATTTAAAACTGTTTTGTTTGTTTGTTCTCCTGAGGTTTAAAGAGGTGGAACTGGGTCCTGCGCCAAAAGGGGAGTACGTGTGAGCCGGAGCATCCACATCCGTGTCTTGGCACCCGCCCTCTCCCTGCTCCTGCCTCCTCAGCTGCTTTTAAAGCCAGCCATCCTGTGAGCACGTGGAGAGCCTGAGGGAGAACTGAAGGTGGTGAAAGATAAATCAGGTCTGTAGACAGACAAGGCACTTGGGAAATGCCAGTCACAGGTAGGTAACAGGTCTTTACCCCTCCCTGCTGCCTCGGCTCTCGTGCGCATCGTCATCTCCACGTTGTGTCCTGCTGGTTCCTGCCCTTAGCAGGGCCTGTGGCCGCCCGGGCTGCGCTGCTGCTGGCAGGGGCTGCTGCCTCCTGTGGCCCTTGGTGCTCGCATTCTGCCCCAGGAGAGCTGGTGGGGTTTATTTCATCCCCCTTCCAAAATATACCTAAAACAGACACAAGTGCCTGCGTACACTTTCCTTGTAGGCCCATGGTAACACTGATAATATAAAATAATTTTCTAGGATCCACGGCCACCTCTAGGATCGCATATACTAAAACATGAGAAGACAGAAGACCTGAACTAGGCATTAACACCACTGAGGGCCAAGCACAATGATGTTGGCAGCAAGGTAGGCTTAGTGCAAGCTCAGCCTGTGTCAGTTAATTTGGATCTGGGCTTTTGATGTCATTTGTTGAACTTTTCCATGTAAATGGCAGTTACAGTTGTTGAAGGGGGATGATGGGAGGTTTTTAAAAGAGGGCAGCACCACATCAGCTGAATGGTCTTTGTTTTATTTTGTCTCGGGATGGAGAATACAGCAACAGTGTAAGTAACACACACAAAACATCCAACAGTGTAACACTCATACACCACATAAACAGTGTAACACACACACACACATCAACCGTGTAACACGGACACACACAAGATCAACAGTGTAAAACACACACAAAAACCACCAACAGCATAACACACACACACACAAAAACCCCACCCCACCAACAGTAACACACACACCCCAACAGTGTATCACACACCAACGCTGTAACATCCACACTACATCAACAGTGTAACACAGAAAAAAAAATCAACAGTGTAACACCCACACATGAACAGTGTAACACACAATCAACAATGTCACACCCCCCCAACAAACACAGTGTAACACAAAGTGTAACAGACACCCTAACAGTGTAACACACACAACACCGTCTCACACACACACCAGTGTAACATACACACTATATCAACAGTGTAACACACACACACCAACAAAATAACACACACACACTCCACAGTGTAACAAACACACACCCCAACAGTGTTACAGATACTCCCGAAGCGTAACACACACAGTACATCAACAGTGTAACACACCCCAACAGTGTTACACACGCCCTCAGTTAATAATGAGCCGCTGAAGAAGCGCTGGTGCCTGAGAGAGAAGCTGCCACCAGGTGGCAGCTGCAGTTCAGACATGACCCTGAACCCGGCGCGCAACCCAGGGCTCCCACCTCGGGAGAAGCTGGAAAAGCAAAAGGAGCAGCACCGCCCAGGCAGCACTGCAAAGTCCTTACCTGGTAAGTGGGGGAACTAAAATGATCTTAGTAGTGTCGTGGGAATGTTTGCGTTTCACTAGTGATCCTCAGTAACTTCCTGGCCCACTGTCATCTCTCACCTCCGCAGGTGCCGGTGCGTGACCGGCCTCGGAGCGTGGGAGCCCTTGGGCTCAGCCTGGGGGCTGTTTTTCCACGCTGCTGTTTCAGGAGACCTGGTGACTCTGAGTCACAGCGCTGCCCTCCCCGAGGGCTATGATTAGCTTCAGGGGACTTACATGAAAGGGGTTTCCTTCTGATAAATGGTGATTAAAGACAAAACTACAGAAAGACTTACAGGGATGACATTTTTATTGAGAGCTGTTTTGCCTACAAAAAAAAACAACCCAAAAGTAGGTCTGTATTAAGGAGTACTGCATATGGACAGGTAAGAAACATGGCGCTGTTAAGACAACCTCCATGAGTATCCGTATCACCAATATCTCTGTTATGGCTTAATTTAAACACCATAGAATCAGATGAGTAAGAATCTATTTCTTCAGAATATTAGTATTTGCACTAAACAGTTATTGACATTTGCTTACATTCTGAAAGACCCACCAGAACATACAGAGAACCAATAATGTAAATGACTTTGTATTACTTTATTAAATAGCCAATTCTAAAGAAGAATAAAAAATAGGAAAACATGCATCATTTGGTGTTTTTAAAAAAAAATTGTCCAAAGCAAAGACTGTTAGAAAAATATTAAACAAGTTTAGCTCAATACACCTTCCATTTCCCGTGTAAAAAAAAAGTATTGGGTAGTTATAAATACTGTTCCCTCTCCTTTAGCAAAGTTTAACAATGTACATTAGTATTTCTGTTACAGTTTTTTCACATTTCTCCTGTAAACAAAATCAAATTTAAAAAGGCCTTGTTAGCAAGCTAAAGAACTTTTGTTTTCCTGTACAGTAAATACAAATACAAAATAGGAAGATGATAGATTTTCTTGACAGTCCGACGAGCACACTGTTTACTAAAATATTAAAGATTTCAATTAGTATAAAAAAAAAAAATCACAAAGAGCAAATGTCTGAGAAGATCCAGTATTTGGGTAAGTCTTAGTTAACAGACAAATGAAATGCTATTGACTTTTGAATGTTAAGATCGGCTTTGTGGAACTCGTGCCCTTCTGGGACCCGAGCATCACAGCAGCGTTTGCAGGCACTGGTTATCTGTCTAAAACATTCACTGCCTCTTTACTGAAGCTACTTGAACCCGCAGCAGCAGGAGCAGGGAGGCGCTGGCGAGGGGTGCGCACGCCTGGCGCGCCAGGGTCAAGGCTGAGTAACACGGGGGGCACCTCTGGGCACCTGCTCCTCACGAGAGCTCTCACTGGGCAAAGGGCCTGCGCAGTTCAGCAGGAACCGTGTTTCACTTGGCAATAAATGTGACAGCTCGAGTGTCAAGCTTCTACAGCGTGAAGTCTCACGCTTGGTCCCTTTCTCTACAGAAACAGAAGTATCTGCCTATTTCCTAGGGAGAATTCCGAGGCAAAGCAGTAAGTCAGCTTTTGGGAGTGCTTTAGTTACTAGAAAATAATGAAATTACTTCATTAACACTAAGTATTTTTTTTCCAAAGCAATATTGCTACACATTTGTCATTTTTAATCTTAAATAAAAATGTGAAATGTAGTTTTCTTCCTGTTACTGCTTTTTTTAAATCTGCACTGATGAAGAACCAGACAAGACAAATTGCTGCATCCGAACACAGGTAAGTTTTAATCAGATCTCTTGCAAAAAATGTAGATTTGCTAAAGATGATATTTGGCCTATATGTGCCATCATCTTACATTCATCCTTTCCAGAAATCTAAGTCAAAACTGTGCCTTCCTGCAAACTATGTATGGCAAAACATATGGTTTTCCCAGTATTCTCAATTTTTTTTTTTTTTAGTAGTTCCCAGTTACAATGCACTACAAGAACAATCTTGCATTCCTGCTTTTCCCAAATGCTTTTCAGCACACTTTTGCACTGCTTATTTCTAATTTCTTAGTCTGGATTGCTGTGAGCAGCTGGAAACAGCACGAGAGCAGACTGGTGACCAGCAGCAGGCGGCACCGCTGGGGCCGGTCTGCCCCTCACCAAGGCAGAACATGCTGAGCACAGACGTCACCAGGTGAAGAGCAAAATGGACAGAGGTAAAAACAAGAGGAGACTAACTGGGAGGAAAGGTCCTGCTCCAGCTCAGAGCTGTACAAAAATTCAGAATTAACTTATCCTGTAGGTCGAATTCTTACACGAACTGAACCAACATAACAGCTGCTTCCCTCATGTTTTGAAAGTGACCCTGCCTGCTTGACTAGATGCTGTCAGATTGCTACAAGCCAACATAGCATCAGCTCGGTCACAAGCTACATTTAAATAAAAACATTCAGTTAAAAATTTTTCTATGAAAGAACAGGATTGCTAGACATGTGAGGAAAAAATGGCAAGTATTGTCAGACAGCACATATTCTAATTACTGAGCTCTGAGCAGATTCTCCTATGTGGTGAATGGTATTTCCACTGTAGGAAGGCCCAGCGTGCTGAGCAAACTAAGATCCGCGCGAGCAATGAGCTGGTCTGTGCGAAGCAGAAGGAACAACCGGGGGCCTCCGTTTGCAGATGGGATTTCAGCTACCATGATTACTCAGACATGGCCTTTTTCCCCTTCCAGCTCTTTTGCCTTTGCTCAAGTTCAGCTTCAGTGAAGGCGGCTGGACCCCAGTTTGTGATCAAGTGGGGATTCTTGGAGCCTGGAAGACAGAGCAGAACCCTTGAGCCAGACATTCCCAGCCACCACATGGCTCACGTGCCTCGGTGGAAGAGGCCACGTGTCTCTATGGGGTTATCTTTAACTACTCCATCTTTTGTGACCGGAAACTCTCTCAAGAGAGTGGCCTGCAGCTCTCCTAGCTGAGGAGGGAGCAGTGCCTGAGGCAAAGTCAGTGAGAACAACATCCCAGAGCAGTTCTGAACTGCTGCAGGCTTCTGTGTCTCTGTCTCCCACCTTTTCTCCAGAGCAGCTGGGCCTTTGGACCCTCCCTTCTGGCCTGTACAGATGTACCTGAAGGACCCCTCCATCACTGCCTCACAGAGACACTTTCCTCTGGGCAGGCCCACTATGCAGTTAAAGAAATAAAGCTTTTCCTAAAAAAAATCAAAGTTTTTTTTTTTTTTTTTTTTTTAATGTGTATTTGCTTCTGCATTTGGTATTCAAGTTAACTACATCAGATAACCAAATATGCCATGCTCCAGGTGTTTAAACATTTAATTTCTTCTTTTTTTTTTTTTTATTTTTTTTTTTCTTTCAGCAGGGCCAATAAGGTAAAGACTTAAAAGTTTCCAGTTTTTAATTTTGTTCAGATTTCAGCACACCTTAGGTACCCAGCTGAAACAGTCATCCTCCTCTTGAGCAATTCAGCCTCGATTTGCTCCCATGATCATCACTTACCTATTACAATCAAGACCAGCTCCTCAGGGACACAGATCTTAACAACCACCCTCTCCTGGCACCATCGGCTGCGCGCCGTCTTGCTCGTACCCGATGCTGAGACTGTTACCACATGCTCATTTAGTGGGGCTCACACATCTGTTTGGGCTCGTGCCCCTGTGGTTCTGAACGCAGTGTTTAGCACACTGGCACTGCCACCACTTTGAAAGTGACCCTAGTACAGGCAGCTGTTTTAATAAATTTATTGTCTGTAGGCTGTTGTGAAACCAGTACGTTGGCTGCCAGGAAAAGGCAGACTTAGTGATCTAGGTGATGTGCTGTATAGGGGATGATGTGAATTTGTGATTTTTTTGACTACATGTACCTGGCTGTATTAGTCGAATTAGTCCCTCGTGATGAGCTACTTTATCCTTCCAACTTTTGGTGTTATTAGCTGCTGTTTCCAACTTCTTTTTTACCTCCTGAAATAAAACACAACCCATTTAAAAAACAAGAACATACAGACAGTCTGTAGCAGAAGACAGAAGGATTTGCAGTGTTTCAGGCTGTGACTAAACTGCCTTGCACATAAACTGGGATGAAAGAATAGAGGGGCAAAAGGTCTGAAAGCTGCTCTGCACTCTAAATATATCCACTGGTCTAGGATGAAAAAAAAAAAATACCCGTTTTCATAACCCTTGTATCATAACAGTCTGTAAACAAGCGTGACACTGATGAAATTCAGTTAAACTCCTGAACACTGAATTGAGGGGGTGAGGAAAAGACCCACTCACCTCATACTGCTCAAGCGCCTCCTTCCTTTCCAGTTCAAGCTGCTCCAGTTGTTGCATGGCCACTTGAAGAGCCCGCTCTTTTATCAGTCTCTGATTTTCCAGCTCTTGCTTCTCTGCTTCTGTCATCTGAATGGTCTGTTGCTGCTGCAAGTGCCATTTTTCCAGTTCTGCTCTCTTTGCAGACTCTTCTTCCAGTAACCTGCAGTGGAGATGGCAAGGTAAACCGCGCTGTAAAGCAAGCTGGAGCCAGGATGTAGCAGACACACAGAGAAGCCTAGATTATTATTATTGTCACAGTGGGATTGAATGCATGAAGAAAAATATCTACTCTAAGAAGAGTAGATTAGTAGATTACCTTATAAGAGAAAGGGCGACTTTTAGCTCTTTTATCAATTTGAATTTAAACCTGTGATAAAATACAAGCTGACTCGGGATAAAATACAAGCTGACTCAGAAGGTCATATTTTACAGTTATGGCTTTATAAAATACCCAACAAGCTGTCTGCACTCGGTGGGCTCAGTTTTTGAGAAGTGCACGAGCACGACGCCCGATGCACACCAGGGATGCGCCGCTTCCCTGAAACCACCGAGTGCTCCCACTGGACTGGTGAGAGTTCCCCCTACGAGGGCTAAGAAATCAAACATTTATAAAACCATAAAGACCAGCCTTAGACTTCACACCTTAAGGAAACAAATCTATCCCATCTTTACCTTAAGATACTCTCTCCCTTTGCAGCAACGTGTCCAGGATGCAATAAATAAAGAAATAAAAATCTCTTAAAAATACGGCAGTTGTTTGCTATTACTTGGCAGGGCAGAGGGGAAACCAGTAGAAATAAGTCTCTGCTAGGTTAAAAAAGGGAAAACTCACCTGGCTTGAAGCTTCCTAACAGTCTCTTCGTCCTGACGCGCCTGCTTCTCATCCTCCAGGGCTTCCTGCAGCTGCTTGTACATCTCTTCCAGTTCGCGGACTCTCTGTAAATACTGCTCCAGCTCCGACGACTTCTGGGCAACCTGCTCCTCCATCTGCTGTCTTACCTGGCAGCACAAATAGAGGACACAGCTGAGCTACCCGTTAACTGGTGCCTCAAGCACCCGCTTTCCCTCAGGTGAGGGTTCCAAATACCGAACATCGCCAGTTGCCTGCAGTGCAAGACTCTGAGATTAACAGCATTATAAAAAAATAAATAAAATCAAATAATAAATAAAATGCACGCCACTTGAACTGGCCTACTTCTTGCAGCACAGGATTTTTACAGTGGTTTAAACCTGATTTCCAGCATAGGGCCATGTCCCTGGAAAAAAGAGGGGGAGGGGAGGGAGAACCTCACATTAAGGTCACCCACCCGGTTTCTGCCCCTCACAGGCCACCCTTTATCTGATCAGAGCAGGACCCGAGGGTGGGGGGCGCCAGCAGGGTGCCAGAGCCATCCCTTTTATGCCTTCAAGATTGAAAATTAGTTATTTTGGAAATCAGGGTGTGGAGAACAATAATAGCAATATTTTAAAGCTGCCATGCTTTTAACACACAAATGCATGTGTACACATGTGTGTGTAGATACATATATGTATACACACAGCACTTAATATACTATATAGTATAAGTATATATATAAGTATATATATCATATAAGTATAGTATGTAAGTAGTAAAGTATAAGAACCATGCTAGTTTTAAATGCTGTTATATATGTGTGTATACATATACACACAAATACATATATATATGTATTTGTAAAATGTATGTATGTAAAACCTGAAATAACTACATAAACCACATAAAAATCCAACAGTTAAAAAAAAAAATACTCATTTTGCATATTCCTGTAGCATGTACTGATCTTAGGGTCTCCATCTTTGAAAAGTGCAAGGGTATCTTCAGCCTGAGTTTAATCTTATAAACTGGGTCCCCACTTTCTAATACCATTTCAGCCATGAACGCTATTCATGCATGTATGCAGGCTGCTCCAGTGTTCGCACTCACAAAATTAATTTATTTCTCCATTTCCAATAGAGACGACCCCGGCTGCACCCGCTACCTCCTGCAAACGGTGCCCGACTCCTGAGAGCGCGGGCCCGGGCGAAGGCACCGCAGGCCCCGGCACAGAGCCACTCGTGCCGCTCACCATTTTCTCTCTCTCCAGCTCTAGACTGAATCGATCTTGTAATTCCACTTGAGTCTGCAGTCTTTTCTTCTCCTCCTCTGCAGCACGCGCAGCTGCTGCTTCCAGTTGCTGTGGGGGGAAGAGGGGAAAAAGGAAGGACCGCAGGAAGGAAAAAAAGATTTGTCAAAACTTAGCTATTTGGGGAACACTGAATTTCATTTAACTCTTTTTTTTCAAGGAAGGAATCTTCAAGGTTTTTTTTTTTCTTTTTTTAAAGAAAAAATCTATTCTCAGCTGCTAAATAACATTATAAATATGATTTTTAATCTTGTTATTGCAAACTACAAATTTGTAAATTCAAAAGCAATCAATTACCTCCTCCGGGTTTCCTGCTCATTCTGCTTTGCACAGCCAACAAAAATCACTATCTTTCCTTCTCTAATTCATATGGGTGAGGATACAGTTATGGAAAACCACATCCCACTCATTTGCAGGCTGTCCTAGACAGTAATTCCAGCAATAGTGAAACGAAGGCTGGAATGCCTGCAGCTCACACAGAAACAGAAGTGAGAAGCACTAAATTACCCTGGAAAAGCAGAAGTGTCACAGAGTTTGACTGTAACGAGTGATTATGCTCTTGTGAATCACATCCCTTTAACATCCTCTAAATTGCCATGTAAGGTAAATAAAATTATAGCTAAGAATCATCACTTAAAATCAGGGGAAAAAAAAAAAGAGTAGCCAAATCAGAGCTTAGCAGAGGGAACCTGAGATGCTGGTACCCTCACCCCTGCTGAATGGTTTTATCCCCCCACAAGCAGATACGGCGACGCTTTCTATTTCCCCCAGCGCGTGTTGCAAGAAGGCTTTGACGCAGCACTGGCGTCAGCCAAAACGGTAACAGTGCTGAAAATGAAAATGATCCTTTTGCAGAATTCCCAAAAGAAAGTGACCTCGTGCGCGGCAGGACGCCGACACCAACACCAGCAGTTTCCTGTAACGCGCGAGGCGGCTCCCGCCGGGCCCCGGCGCTGCGTGCGACGCCCCAACAGCCCAAAGCCCCTGCAGAAGCTCCAGGGCCGGCGCTCGGGGCCGGCCGCTCCCGCCGCTCGCCCACCTTTCTCACAGTCTCCAGCTCCTTCTGCTTGTTCTCATTGGCCGCCTGCAGCTCCTTCATCTGCCGCTCCAGCTCCTCCTGCTCGGCTAAGAGTTTCTGGCGCAATTCCTTCCGCTTCTGGCGAGCCTCCTTGTGGGGAGGAGGGTTCCCCCCTCGCAGCAGGTTCACAGTGGTCTGTATGGCTGGCAGGGAACAGGCGAGACACAACGGGAGAAGAGTAAGAGAAGGGAAGGGAATCGGAAACTTTCTGGGCAGCCCTGGTGAATGCTGGTGGGTTTTTTCTTTTTTCTAATGGATTTACTTTAAATCAAAATTAACTGTTAGTTTTCCTAGCTGCCAACACAAATCAAAAGTAAAAGACTCTTGGCGATCGCTGCTGCCTGTGTCCCAGGAGGGGACCGTGGGCAGGGCCAGCCCGTTACGTCAACCCGAACCCTGATTCCTTCCTAACAGGCAGCGCACGCACCAGGACGTGTGCGGTGCGAGGCACCTGCACACCTAGCCGGGAAAAACAGCTCCAAGGTTTCCCACCACCCACCGGATGCAACTTCAGGATTGCAGGATCCTTACCTTGGATCCACTCCTGCTTCTTCTTTTTATCAGAGGCACTGATCTCAAAGCTTTTGTCAAGGCATTTTATGAGAAAAAGGCATTTCTTCCCATCCTTATCAGGCAAGGCCTAGAATCCATAACAAAGGATTATGCTTCCAAACATTAAATTGTCTGCTGCATTGTTAGGACCCCTCTATTCAGTTTGTGTTACAAGTCTACAAAAAACAGCTTTAAAATATAAAAAAAAGAGTGTTTATGGCCCGTTTTCCTATAAAGTCAAATTTATAAGTAAAGTTGTGTGTAAAGTAAGTCTGTTAGGCAAAATGTCTTGAACATGAAATCATCAGGTGATTTTCTCACTTCAAACACAAGCAGCCACTTCAGTACCAAGAGACACTTAATTCAACAGAAATCCTGGGACAGACAACCCAAGTTCACCTCCGTGCTAATGGTAGATATGAGGAATGCATCCCATACACGCACAAAAAGAACAAATTCTTTTCTTTGGAGAAATTAGTAATTGTTCTCTTTTACCTCTACACAACAGTTGCCATCCAGCATGATGTCTCCCTTCTTGTCTTTTAAATCTTCACTTACGTAGTAGGAAATAATATTGGGCTTCAGCACGAACCATCGCTCTGTCCAGTTTTTCCTTTTGTGGCCTTTTTTCAGCATATAGCCCTGCAAGAAGGGAGAGGGCAACTGAACCGCCTGGTCCCTGTGGAACCGCTTGGTCTTGCAGTTATGTGGTTTATGGCCCGCTGTACCAAGCTGATACTGTTTGATCCCAGCCCTAACATATTTCACCTCGACATTTCCATTCCCAGGCTCAAAGTGCTCCAAAATAAGAGGATCAAAATGTCAGAAAGGAGACCAAGGAACATTCTTCTGTAAAGTCTTTTAGCTGTCTGTTTTGTATAAAGAGTATATAATGTACACATGGATATTAAAAAATACATATACACAGCTCTGTCTACACAAGTAACATATGCACACACACACACACACAAATACACACACAAACGGAGCAACCCTCCACACTTTGGCCGTGCTCCTGCCTTATATACGGGGTGAATTTGCTTTCCAAGACTACTATTTTCCCCTCCAAATCCATGCTAAACCTGTGTCTGTGCAGAAGCTTCTCATCATTTTCTAATAGTCCTCTGGTATCTCTTAGCGATCTCTTTTCACCCCAACTATCACATGCAGGCTAGATATGTCTCAGGAAAGAGGAAGAGAAGACTGTCACAAATGTAACTATCACTGCTACCCATCACCACACTGGAGATGACAGGACAAGCGCTCAACAGGAATGGTGGTATGAGACTTTGAGCCCACACGGTGTCTCATTAACTCCACGCCGATGCCATCACGTACCAATAAACGCGCTGCCGACGGCGCCAGTCAGCAAGGAACGGGCCTTGCCGGGACGGAGCCGAGAGGTGCAGCTCCCCCGGGCAGCACTGTTTTCCCAGGAGGAGCTGGATCAACTCCTGACTCAAACACGCAAACTATTTTTATGTTTTTTTTTTCACATGTCAAGGATCTATTTTCAAAGGTACTCAGACTATTCACCAAAAGAGGGAAAAAAAAAGGAGACAGTCAAAAAAAAAAAAAAAAGCATAAAAAACGAAAATTTGCCCTTTCCAGAGAAGCCAGATTTGCTCTCAGGTTTTAGGAGGCAGGCCTGACGACAGCGGTTTCTCTATTTCGATGTCCATAACGAGCACAATGACTTCACTTGTCCTCAGCTAAGCAGGTCCCCCCTCCCAGCCCTCGCCTCCGATGAGCAAGCAGGGGAACCAAAAATAGCCCTTGGCATCGCATTGTTCGGTGGATATTCTGAAAGAACTTCCCGTGCCGAGACCTGCTGATGCTTTCTTCAGAATGGCTTGGCAAGTCTGCCAAGAGAGCCTTTGTTTCCCTGCTACCAAGGAGCAAAGTTGAAAAAAACACTCCCTAGGTGAAAAAAAGTCAAGTTTATCTAGCTCTCTAGGTAACTTGGCCTGCGACTCACTGAGCTTTAATAAATTTATACTTCCTATGGAGGAAATGTGCAGTTTTAAAGCCATTTGTAACCGTATAACCCATCCACTGGAGACCTGAAACAATGGAAGACTGATAGACATTTGCTAAGAATATTAAGGCTCCCCTTACTGTTTGTGTTTGAGCACAGGGAAGTCGCTACTCAAGCCGCCTGCCGAGCAGAGAAGAGCAAAGCCCCGGAGCTCAGCGGTACCTTTCTGCCCTGCTAAGCTGTGTCAGCTCCGCAGCAGATGCTCCGGGCTTGTCAGGACCATGTTGTCCAGTACAGAAGTCCTATCAGCACAACCTGTCAGTCGTTTGCTACAATCTAACTGCAGCTGGAAAGCGGCATTTTCGGAAAAATCCAGGAATTGCCAGACTTTTTAAGAACTGGCAAAAAAACATGTTTGTAGCTGTCTGTGAAGTTATGAGTAATTGACACCAGTAATAAAAGGTTACATTTCAAGTCTGAAGCCCACTTTATTTCTAAAAACAAGTCCTCCTAATAAGCAACTGATTCATAATACTGTAATACTGTAACAATTACACCAATCTTGACAGCACCACAACTCCTTTCCTACAGGAAGATGATATTATAAAGAAACCCTAGATGTAATTTATCTCGTTTTCCCACTGCTGTGAAGGAAACGGCAGTACCAAGGAACATTTTCTAATCGTGCAATAAACCTGTTCTCTTTTAAAATACCCGTTTTCCATATTTCTTACCTGCTTGAGTACATCTAATATGAGCTCATTAAAGACTTCATTAATTGCCATTGATACTGTCTGCCGGTCCATGCCTTTGCTGAACTGCCCACTTCCGATGAGATCGATGAGCTCCCACGCGGAAAGCCCTTCCCGGCTGGTGTTGAGCGCAACCTTGTAGTGGTCAAACTGCTCCTGCTGCCAGCCCGCCCCCATCGCTTCCGTGAGCTTTTTAAGAAAGTACTCAATCTGTAAAGAAACAGAAACACAATTTAATCCTTTTCAGACACAGAAATCAAGTGTTTCACAGTTGAAAAGTAAGCTTCTCTAGAGGCTAATCTACATACTTGACTATTATTGGTATTTATTTATACATATTTATAATTTATTTTATATTTATTTCTATTTTTAATGTCTATTTTTTATTGTATAGCCAGGTTCCTACACTTGCATTTAGGCCTCCAAAAGCAAAAGGTCTAAATAACAAAACATTTAGGTTCCCAGAGCTTTTTATCTCACAAGGTCCAACTTTTGACTGCTGAGCCTGCCTGCATCTTCTCTGTTCATTTGAAGGAAGAAAAGAAAGATGGACCCGAGAGCCTCCTGTTCAATATTTCAGACTCCTACAGAACACGTGGCAGGCTGGGCTTCTTCACTAGAGTCCTCTTCCCCACCTCGCCTCGCCGTCACTGCGCACAGTCTTGGCAAACGTTCACTGAGAGTCAAACCACCATCACAATTCTCACCTTTGCTTTTGCTGCTTCCAAAACAGACTCTCCCTCTCTTTTCACCTTTCACCAGGCCATACACGTTACCAAACTGCACACTAATAATAGCACTAGTCAAAACAAACCCAAGAATGAAAAAGAGGGAAAGGCGGCTGTGTTTCTTTGTTTTCCTGGGTTCTATTTTTATTTGTTTTTAGCTCACCGCAGCTTTCTCTCTAACCAACACAGTATTTTAAGCCCACATGCACCTCTAGGCACACACAGAGCATTTTCAGCCAAATTAGCTTGGAACGCCCTCCTCCTAAGGCCTCCACATCACGGAGCCAGGGCCGCACCTCCGGGCTTCGACCGCTGCAGCGACTCAGTGCCAAGCCCAGGTCTAACGCAGTGCTGCAGACACACAAGGCATCGGTGCCTCCTGCCCCTGCCGGGTGCGGGTCGCTGCGTTTCCTCGCACGCCGGCTCCTGACTGTCCCCTGGACCCAACCACGGCCCTGGCGGCCAGGGCGCTGATGCGCTGCCCTGGGCAGCCCCGCTCCCGGGACAGGCCCGTCCAGCGCGCGGCTCGCACCGGAGCCAGGCAGAGAAAGCAGCACCGGCTTCCCCTGGGCTCTCCGTTCTCTCCGGGACCACAAGTGCAGCAGGAAGCCACCTCCTCTCATGTCTGCCCAGTGGGCAGCGGCTGCTCCAGCTGCTCCTTTCCTGCACACAGCAGCCCTGCAGCTCCAAAGGAGGCACTGGGAAGCGCAGGCTCCGAAGCAGAGCGAGGAAAGACCGTAGCTGGACACAGCCAGCGCCCTTCTGCACGCACAGGAGCGGACGCGCGTTCTGAGCGCCACCCTGCTGACCGGGACACCCGCAGGGGTCAGCGGGAAGCAGGCTTACTTCAGGTGATGCTTTTGGAAGCGCTAAGTGATTCGGGAGCTTGACTCCCACTAGCCAGGACACAGGGCGCAGGTGAGTGCGCCTTGCTGAGAAGCCGTAGGAGCTGGATACTCTCGAAGGCTTCGTTTCTTTATTCGCCACCTTGGCTCCTATCGCTACCCCCAAAATGCCGGACAAAATGCAATGTCTCCTATGGGCTCGAACACCCAGCTAATGGAGCCGGTGGATTACAGAACAGATGAACCTTTCAGCCGTGCCCTCATGTCCTTCCCCCTGGTGTAAGGGGCTTTGGCGCAGGCAGCAGCCGCTGCGCGGGGGCATGAGGAGAGCTGCCCGTCCCTGTCCCCGCAGGGGCTCGCGTGCAGGCCCCGCGCTGCACCCGCAGCTCCTCTCTGCCGCATGGGGCACCCGCCAGCCCCCCTCCCCCTCACAGCTGCCAGCTCGAAACGAGCGCAGCGGAGCGTGTGCTGCGCGGCACCGCAGATACTTACTGGAGCTGAAATCCACCCTACAGCTGGGCGGCCTTCGGCTCCCCGTTCAGTTGCGCAGTAACCCTTTGTCTTACAGCCCTACTCCGGTAGGATGAGAGGCATGGCTAGGGCAAAACGAAGGAGCTCCTTAAAGTCACCGTCCGGTCTACAGTAAAAGTTCCCACTGTGACTGGGCAGGAAGCACGTGCTCCTGAGACGCGGCTTGTGCTCCTTGCCAGAGTATCTTAAGAGGAGTTGCCAGCCCAAGCATGAAACAGGTCTTTAAGCTTGGCACAGAAGCCGTAGAGAGTGCTGGTTCTGAGTGGCTTGAATTTTTTAAACTCAGCAATTAATTCCTTTTAGAACCATGCAGGTGTGCTTTGCCGACTGCGACTCTCAAAAATGCTCCTGCTGCAGCCCAGTGCATGCACACGGAGCGGGAGCAGCCCCAGGCTTCGGAGCACCAAACGCCACACGTGCCCCACAGTCGGCGAGCGGCAGGAGGCAGCTCGCTTCCTCCCGCCAGCCCAGCGCCACAGAAAGGCCAGGGAAAAAGCAGCAAAGATTTTTCCACATGCACGCGAGCAGGAGCGCCCACCGCTTGTTTTGAAACGAGGCTCCTAAAGCCGCGACTTGCTGAGCTGCGCCCACCATGCAGGGCAGCACATAATAAAAAAAAAGAATACAGTGCAAAATTAAAATTCATCAAGCTTTGCTCCAAGATTTTGCAACCTGTTAGGCTGCTTGAGGTGTGCAGCTCTGAAGTCCCTCTGGTTAGCTGTTTCCAAGTGCTAGACTCACAGAAAAGGGACAAAAAAGACCACACATTTCACCATCTCCCCCACTCTTTTGTACTCAGAACTATGTGAACAAAATGGGCATCAAACTAATGGTTTGGAAGCGCAGTAAGTAATGCAAACGGTTGGCTATGACACGCAATGAGCTAACAGAAAGCCAAAACATCTTTGGTTAACCTTTATTGTATTTTTATTCTTGGACAGATTATACACTAGACTACTAACCAACCACCTACAAGTCACTAACATCACCACAAATATGCTAAATCTTCTTAGAGTACATAAAATATCCAATTATTTCTAACGATATTCAAACTAGGCTATGCATACTGCAATTTCTAAAATAGAAAGAAATAAAGCTTGATCTTTTATTGAGATAAGCACATAACCAACTGAGATCTGCACAAAAATTTCGTCCAGTGGATCTCCTCTGTGGCAACAGTGAGTGTCGGGGAGAAGAAAATACAAATGTGGAGCAGCATAAGACAAGTGAAGAAATGAGGTGGATTTGGTAAATGTGGACGCAAACAAGAGATCATTCATTTAGAGCTCAAATGAGGAAGTTCAGAGAGCAAAGTGCATTTCCCCTCCTCCACAACGAGACACGACAACTCAGCAAATAACTGACAAATTAAGTCTTCTGGCACGACTCACTTTTGTGGTTAAAAAGCAGTGTGTCAAATAACAAATGCAAAGCAATGTTCGCTGCTATTCTGGCTGGGCCTTACTCACTTTTTGACACAGATGTAAAGACACAAGGCTTTTGTTTCAGGAGGAACTAGCACTGCATACACCAGGGTGCACCAACTGGTACCAGCACTATGAGAAACTGGTTCCAGCCCAAATCAACAAAAATTTTCTAGCTAGAATTTGTCAAGAGAAAACAAACAGAATAGAATGAAAAGAAGCTTTTAAAAATTAGATATACAGTCTATTTGGTATCCTTTTTTTCACTTCAGTGCCTACTGTCTTTCTTTTCCAGGTATTCCTGGCACAATTCTCCGGGGACTATGAAACATCATACCTGTTTCATGTATTTTTTGAGGTGCCAGTAGGCCTGTTACAGGATGATTTTAGTTTTTAAAATGCAGCTTTCACGCCCAGCAGAGCACGGCGCACACGGCTATTCTGCCTTGCACCATTCAGACAAGGTTTGCAGTATTAGCACAGCAGACTTGAACTAACTTCTGTGCGAGCATGTGCAGCTCAGCAAGGGCCCTGAAAACAATTATATCTTGTTTCCAGTTCCTTTTTTCCCCACCAGAACATAACTTATTCAATATTTGTTCCTTCGTTTCCACCAATAAAAAAATCCCCATACTATAATGTATAATACTCTTGTAGATAATAAAATCAGTTGAACCAGAGTAGTAGTTAAAACAAACAAACAAAAACCCACGCTACTGTGCTCATGATCCAGCCTAAACTTACTCCTTTAGCATTAAACTCGCATTAAACTTTACAGAACAAAGGACTCAATACTCCTGATAACCCTAAGGACAACCTGCTGCATAAACTGAAAAATCTCTTGTTCTTTGCAGCAGCTACCAAGGAAAGGAGAAGCGAAATGGGAAGAAGTGACCCCAGCATCTCATTCTCATCTCTTTCTGACCATCATCATCAACTTGTAGAGGACACAGATGAATTACAACCCCACTCAAGTACCTTTCATTTTAGTTGTAGCAGTTTTCACTTTATTTCTGAATTTATTATAAATCATAAAATTAATGAAATTAATTGTATTTAGCCAAACTCTGATATTCTGAGAACAGGAAAGCAAAGCAAATGAGATCACAAAAAAAAAAAAAAAAAACAACACACCCCTCTAGGAAACTCCTCCAAAAGAATCACCAATGGGTAACTTCAGATTTTCATCTCCTCAACCTAAAAAAAACTCATTTTCAAATGCACAGCAAACCCACAGAATATTTGGGCCCTCTTTGTCCTAGATTTGGAGAGCTAGAAATGCCACTTGACAAGGCTGGAGGATAAACTCAGTGAGCATATTTGGCTTATTGAGAAGGAGCCACCTGAACAGTGCATTGCACCCGCAGAGGAGCTGCCAGCGCAGAGCTCTGCCGCGTCTGCGACGGAGGGCGTCCCACAGACGCAGCCATCCACACGCTGCAGCTTGCAGGCGGTACCACATTCCCGAGGCTATGGTCACGTGTCCAGAAAAAGGAAGGGGAAGTGTTTGGAGACCTTCTCACAAAACAGAACACGCCTGGTTAAACAATACCAAGGCTGACGAAGGAGTCTGTAACGACTCAGGCGGGAGCTGTAAAGAAAGCTCTAGGCAAAATAATAAGCAACATTTTTCTTCTTACAACTGCAAAATTTTCCATCTTCTCTCTTGTTTTTTCCTTTTCAAGACAGATAATCAGAAGATAAAGCCCTCTGGATGCCCACAATCAGGGAACCTTGAGGAAGAGCCTGGCTTTGGGGAGCAGGGACAGCCCCAACGTGGGCGCCCCCATGGCCACAGAAGGCGGCCATGTCCCTAGCTAAGCCTGTGCTAGTTCTGAAAACTCCCCATCAGTTGAACAACCTGGACAAACTAATTTTATCTTGAGAAAACAAAACTGCTGTTGTCTCCAACCTTTCTGCAGCCCTTCAGCCTCCCCGCCACCGCCTTCACCCAGTTTCGTAAACCTTTTGCTGTGTGCAGAGCAAGGGCTCTCACCTCGAAGTGAGCTCGCTCGGGGGCAGGCGGAGCAGGCCCTGGCCGCGGCCGTCACGGTGCCCTCCGAGACCCAAGGCCAGCCCGGCCAGTCCTTCCCTGAGCGCCCGGGCAGCCCGACTGCCTCTCTGCGCTCAGAGGGGCAGGGAGGCCCGGCCGGCCGCCACCTTGGGGCTTAACCCAAATACAAGAAGCTCAGAACTGCACAACTTCCGAGCCCCCTGCGTTGTTGCTTCAAAATTCCCACTTTGCACCTGCTCTCCGTGCTTTGCTCTTCCTAAAGCCTTCCTCCACCTCTGAAGTGTGTCCGAGGGGAAGTCTTTCCGAGGGAGACGCTGCAGCAGCTCCAGATCTGCTGTTGTTGCCCAGCTGGGCAGGGAATCTGGCCCTAACACTCTGGGAAGGAGGTGGGAAGAAACCCTCCCCCATAAGCCACTTTCTGACAGGAGAGCCTCCTACCACCGCTCAAGAGCCAAGGGACCTAAAGCCATCACGGAAGAGCAGAAATCCAAACAGTGCAAAGAAAATGAAACTGCACCCAACCAATATATGTAGTTATTCAAGCAAGTGCAGAGACTGCCTATGCCATTAAAAATAAATAATCAAACAAAAAGGATCCACCAAAAATCTCAAGGAGCAGAGTTCCTCCTCTGAGTAGGAGAAGGACACATCTTTCTTCATAGTGACATGAAGTTGTACCAACACACTGGAGACCCAGGGGGTTCCCTCCTATCTACCGGTCAGATCTTTCCATCCATGAGTTGGGATAGGAAATCTGCAAGGGATAGATCACCTTCCTCATCTGATAGTATGAGACAATTTTCCTAATTATATAAAAGCAGGAGGGGAAAAAGAAAACAAAGCCTAGGAGGCGGAAGACAGGGAGGAGGGGAAGAGACTGGCTCCACAGGGAAGACTCTGCAGCAGAAGTTGTGTGTGGTGATATTCTCAGCCAACGATAACAGAAACAAGCAGGGAGAAAAGGAAAGCTCTCTCCCTGGCTGGAAAATGATCCCGACTCACATGAAAGGTTTACATCTGTTCTAATAAAACATAAACACAGAATTACAACAGCTCTATCATCATCCTATCTACAAACAACCCTGACAAACAGCCCATTTGCAGCTCATTTAAACAAGATGCACAAGTCGTTTTTTTAATTAAATGACAGAAGGGACGATAATGTGGTGAAGATTACATAATCTATCAAGACATTAAAATCAAACTGTATTTATGAACTCCAGATGCATAAAAAGAAAATGGAAGAAAAATACTTAAGCAGTATCATTCTGAACACTACGGAAAGGGATTATTTTCTGCTAAAAATTGTCAGCCCCAGGATCACCATTAATGATTGTATAAGAGGATGCTTTGGAAATCTCATCTGGTGTTCAGCTTTGGTAATTAAAAATTAACGGACAAAACAACTAAAAAGGCTGACATGAAAGGTCACACAGAGAAAAGGCAAAACTGACCAAAATTAAGACTTTGCTTTGATGCTTTTGGAATTCTGGGTAAAAGGATAAATGTGGTAAACATGGAGTTTTTCAGAAACACAGAAAACCCAGGAGGTCTGATGCAAAACAGAAAGCAGTGCATTCACCAGACAGCATTCCTCCGCTGCCTGATTACATTACCTGTGTGGTCTGAGGCAAGGCAAGAGGTTAGAGAGTGAATGCAGGCATTGTACATGATAAGAACAGAGCAGCCTTTCTTTGCCAGGCCTTATAAGCTTTCTTTAAACTGTATTGCACAACTTAAATCCTACTGTAATCAAGAAGATACAGACATAGGTTTATTCAAAGAGATTTAAAGCAATTCAAGTGAAAGAGCAACACTGGTTTACCCCGGACCTCAAGGACGGGAAGGAAAGAATGACCCCAACTCTGAAATCCGGAGCGGATCTTTCTGGCCCAACACCGCAGCCCTCGGCACGGAGAGACACCCTGGACCTACCCCGCGACACCCACACCTGGCAGCAGGAGTGCGGGAGGTTCTCTGGCAGCAGGAGAGCACGCGAGCATTGCCAGCACCCGGAGCTGGCAGCTCCAAAGCTTTTAACCATGCCAAGGGATACGGAGAGGTGAAAGACTCACCCCCCGCCCCGAAAAGCTGGGCGACCGTAGGGAGGACACACCTGGGGAGTGAATTCGAGTCCCAGGCTGTACATTTCACGGCTATGACCTTCTGCCAAGGCTAAATCCGACACCATTAAGAAGGGAGTTGTCTAAGTTTCAAAAATGTTTCCATCTCCCAAACTTAGAGGGGAAAAAAAAAAAAAAAGAAGAAGGAAAGAATGTATGAAAACTGTCCCCTTTGTCCCCTTTTTTTTTCCCTTAGAAATAAGAAGCATGCCAGGTAGGACCCTGTCATCACCAATCTGGGTAAAACCTGAAATCTTACAGAGTGAAATAATCCTGTTCAAAAGTAAGTGATGAGGCAGAGCTGAGCTGCTCATTTTGCTAGGGAAGGGAACTCTCTCTGCTTTACAGTTTGGCATAACAACTTAAAGCTGCACAGTTACACTGCTCTGACACACAAATCAAAATGTTTTGATCTCTGAATGCTAACAGTCTGCAAAACATATTAATCAGTACTTTGTGAAGAACTGCTGAGTCCTGGGATTTCTGTGTAGGGTTTTGCAGGAGGTTATTCCTGCCTGCAGATCCAATCTTCCCGATCTTCCCTCAATGGAAAAAGCACTACATTTGGAAGACATTAAAATTCTCCTCTAGGGTTAAAATTCCTATTCAAACTTTGCCTGTACTTGTTCATGCACCTAAAGTACAGAGAGATCTCTCTGGTGTTTTGCCCACTACTGTTAATCCTTCAACCATTTCAAGCAGGAGGAGTTCAGACACTGCTTTTGTTCAGAAACAGACACCATCAGAGAAGTCCTCCTAGAGCAGTACTTCTGCTTTTCAGCAGGAGGATGACATGAGACCGAACACTCATCTGCAAATCATGGTAACATGGAGCAGAAAGGAGATTTTTTTCCCCCTAGAATCACACTCATGTGCCAACTGTGCAAAGCCCAGGTACCAACATACAAGCAAGTGCAGTGATTCAGAGATCACACACGTGCACTATCCATCAGTGAAGTGACAACCTCAGCAGCTTGTGATTTGAAGCTGAGTCACCAGTCAGTCCCCACAAACTGCAAAATTAGCTAGTTACTACTAGGTGCTAAGCGTCACGTCCCATCTAGTCTAGGCTGTTTTAATGACATGGATATCTAAGGTGTTCTTTGTGGTTTTCCTCATTTACAGTCTGGAAATAAAAAATAAAACAAAGCAAAACAAACACATATCCTTTTGTGCCTTTTGTATGAGGTCTTACATTATTATAAGAGAGGAGTAGGGCTTCTATATTCAAAAAGTACTTATCTCTAGAGAAGAGTAAATACTAGCATAATTCAAAAGGAACATGCAACAAACTGGTGTTAAATAGCAGAAGTTTTTGTTTCTTACCTCCTCAGGTACAATGATTAGGGGGTATTTGTCCTCTGACAAAAAGTTGAAGATAACCCACACTTTAAATGCATCTTCATCGCTAATGAGCAGAAGACTCTTAGAGAGGTTCTTTTTAGCACAGAGTGTCCAGCACATCCTATTGAATTCAACTTTGTCAAAGTTTCCTTGAACCTAAAAACAAAATTAAAATATATGTATTTTAAACATGTACAGACAGAAACATAATAGCAAATTCATACAAAAAGCACTGAGGAAATTCTAGTTTTCAAGAAAATTTATGGCCCAAAAAGAGCACTGCAGCAGCCTTGTCTGACTTCCCAAAAGGAGTAAACTTTCAGTAAACTGAAAAATTTCTTCCAGCAAAATCTGCATCCAACCTCCAATTTTTGGTTTAGTCTTTAGTCACACTTCATGTGAGGCAGACTATACTGCAGTCAGTATTCACTCTAGCACAACAGTTTTAGCTTCCAAATCATCACTTTAACTTTCTTAATTGCAACTCACCTTCTGATACTGAACTTTTTTTCTTGACTAGTTAATCCACTGGAAATTTATTTTTTCACAGACTGCAAATCTTTACCTTAACAGATTTTAAAACCACTTGTTTTTGTTATTCTTTAACATATCTAATATTTGTGCATACACATCTGTGAATTATTTACATATGGCAAAGCCCTCATTTCCTCTATTTTACTTTAAACCCTCACTTATGTTAGAGATGAAACCTATGCATCACCCTGCAGCTCTGCAATGCTACATCTTCGCCAGCATGAAAGCTTTGCATTGCAATGGAAGTCTCTTGCAGTTTCAGAATGCACATCTAAGAGACAGGTTTTTTGCACCTCTTCTGGTAATGATACCAATAATACTCAGATCAGATTTTCCTATGAGAGACCAAACCACATTCTATATGTGTGAAGGACAGGATCAGTGAAGTGTACGATTTCCTACCCAGTCTGGTAAGTGGTCAAAAATAGCAGAGGTTGAGCCACAGCGCCCAACTTTTTTAAAGCTTAACTAAGGAAATGGATGAACTGATGTGGGCAGAGAAAAAAAGGCAGAGGGAAAGAGGAAACCAACTGTATGCCAACAAATACCTTAAATACAGTCCCAAGGACTGCAAGTGAAACCATGGAAGAAAACCATAGACCTGGCACGCTATGAGACACCAAGGCAAGTGACACTGCAAGAGGCAGGCCACAGGCAGAAGCTGCTTGGAAGAAGGCGGAAGCTGCAGGAGCTCCAGATCCTACAGCCACAACCTCTGCGTCTGGGTTATCCGCATGAGAAACATGGCGTTAAACAAAATGCTGACCAAGCAAACTACAGAAATACTCTTTGGAGGCAGGTCCAGAACTAGGGTTTCCTTCTCTGTCCTCCTGCTTGTCAGTGCCTCATCCCACAACTGCACTTATTTGCCTTTGCTTTTTCTTGACTGCCCTCCCCACCTAGTCCAGTCACACCAGTCCAGACAATGAACACCTCAGCCCTGGAAAAGCCTTGTGGTTATGCTGTTCTGAAGGAATATTCGGGTACAGTGGCTCCTTTCCTAGAGCCACCAGCTGGCAAGTACACTAAGCACCACAAATGCAGCGGGCGATTCTACAGCCAGCTTGTGTTTTGAGGCAAGGTAGCTGACAGTGATGCACAGGGAGAGAGGTGGCAAAACATCCCCTGCATGGACCCTAGGCTAGTGCAAGGCAACCAGCCGCTCCGGGCTCCGCAGGAACAAGACGGTTTTTGTCACATGCAAAGCAGGACCAGGCACACCTGAGCAGCCCAGGTCACCTGCGGGGTGCTACAGCTGCCACAACAGGCGGCAGCCAAGCAGGAGGCACGAGGGTCACTTTGCTGCAGGTGACTAAGTTCCATCAGCGCCTCAACTCAGATAAGCAGCTCCTTTGATCAGAACCCAGATTTGATMATTAAAAAAAAAAAAAAAAAAAAAAAAAAAAAAAAAAAAAAAAAAAGAAAAAAAAAAAAAAAAAAAAAAAAAAAAAAAAAAAAAAAAAAAAAAAAAAAAAAAAAAAAAAAAAAAAAAAAAAAAAAAAAAAAAAAAGACGGTCAATGTGGCACCAGAAACAGAGAGACTATTTAGAAATTATTCAGGAAAAATAAACAGATTAGTGCACAAGTTCAGCTCTCCAAAATAACTATGATTCAGTCCTGTTTTGCTTTTGTTTTCTATAAACAATTAAGCTGGCTGTTAAATAAAGGATATAATTCCAGCATTGTTCTGGGGTGTGTGGAACTAAATAGTTCTCTTTATTGAAGACAACAATTTTCCTCAACTATTTCTTGTAGTGATGCCAATTTTTTCTGGTGCATCATTTCTTCAGGAATATTTGAGGGGGTCTGAAAGGAAGAAAGAAGAAAATCCTACAGCTGAAAATAAAGCAAAGAAACAAATCACCACAACCACCACCAACAAAGAAACTAAAACCAAATCACTTTAGAGTTTACTCCATAGTATTGAAGTCCTGGCTGTACTGCTTTGACTTGCTTGGTGGGCAATGTTCCACTCTAAGGGCCATATTTTAATCACTCTAAATAAATAATCTCTCCAAATTTGTAAGAGATGATTTCTAACCATCATTTTATAAACTGATGATAATTGGATAGATTTTCAAGTTGCGCTTGAAATTATTCATAAAGTTATCTCCAACTTAACTGAAAAGCTGTAAAGATTTTTAGACAGGAGGAACTGATGGCAAAAGAACAGAGAGCCATAAATGCAAATACAAGTTGCCTTTTCATGACATGAACAAAACATGTATTTATACACTCAGATGAGGCCAGAGACAATCCTAGAATTCCAATTTAGAGAGATTGCAAAAAAAGCCTAATTACTGTAAGACTCTACTATGAATCCTACACTATATCATCTTGATTTGAACTAAAATACTGGGATTACGAAACTCTATTGAGAAACTAGTATTTCAATTTTATTGGAGCAGAATACTCATCCTGCTTGCAACCAGCATGAATAGCCAACAATTCAATGGCTTGATTAACAAATGAATCCTTGTACAGGAGATTTTAGTATACGCTTTTTCAATTGTACTTCATTCACTGTGTCTGCCCAAAACACTACATGTATCTGTTTCGTTTTAAAATTTCTATAGTACCACACACTATTAACTGTAGAGCCTATCTGCAAAGAGACTATCACTTACTTGTGTATGTATCCAAATGATGAAACATGCAGATGACCTGAGCCCTCCAACCCCTAAATAGCTTAAAATTACAGAGACAGAAACACCATACTTAAAGACATTTGCCGTCCTTTTCCAAGTATCACAAGAAAAACACAATAATATCCATAAAACTTCAAGATCTTAAATTTACATTGCTATGCAAAGCACAATATACTAGTACTCGTAGCTTAACTAAATAACTTTAAAATATAAAGAAATACAGAAAATATTTGGGTTAACTATTTATGATGGAATCAATTCCGAAAATACACTAAAGATTAGTAGTATAAGTAATATTCAATACGTTGACTGTAAGACAAAATAACCCAAGCTTTAGAATGATGTCCTTTGCTCATCCCCACTAATGTCTTTTCTCTCCTAAGATATATTGTAAAATACCACCACTAGCATCAGTATAAAGGAAACATTTTCAGTTGGCACTGAACAACATGTATTATAAAATGTAACATGATAGAATAGTAATGAAACAGAGTAAAACAAATTACACAGACATAATGCTGGCAAGTAACAGTTCCCTTCTGAAAAGGGCACTTACAGAAAAAGAATAGATTTATTTCAGACATAGGAAAATACATCATCTCTGAAAGGCATGTCACAATCAAGATTTTTAAAGTCCACAAAGATAGCCTTGTGTCTGCAGAATTTTACTAACTTCTACCAGAACATATCTGAATTGTTTGAAAAAATAATTGGGATTAAATAATATGAAGTTACCATAGAATAAGAAGGTAACCAAGAACAGAACAAGAATAAGACAAAGTAGCCAAGAACAGTAAATTCACACCTTTGTTCACATCAAGTTAACTTGTTTATGTAGCCAGGTCTTTCATTCTTGATTTAAAGTGTTGTTTTATTAGTAGAACTGTTCCTCATTTCCCTAACTCTCTCTCCTATAAACATCCTAAACAAGGAAACATGTTTATATTTGAAACAAACTGCCGTTTCCATCCTTTTCTTTTTTCCCCTTTGATTTAATGGCTTGCTACTGCCCACAAATGACACTAAAAAAACCCTGTGACTCAGACTCTGCAACTGTAATCCTTCAATCAAAATAAAATAAGGCCCTTTCTTTGTTCATAAATTCTGACCTCAGTAGAATCTTACAGAGGCTCAAAGAGCCAACGCTAAGTGGAAATGAAATGATAGCCTTCCCAGGGACAAAGCAAGGACAAGAGCAAATAGTCAAGGCAGTAAGTGGGTATCTTTATGTGTAGCAATGGCCATCAGCTCTCACACAGAGAACTGGGTACAAAAGAAAGCACATGCCATGGCGGCAGAGGTTGACAAGTGGTAGGAGCACAGGTGGGCAGAGAGTAACCCCCCATGCTCACTAGTCTTAGCCAGAGATATGAAGCTTTTCCCGTTTCCAGGCTGCAAGGCTGCATATCAGGTAGCTATTGCATTTTTCATTAGTATTAAATGTAGACTAAAAACTTGAGGAAACAGAACAACTATCAAACTGGGTTAAAAAGCCTAATCTGAAATTGTCAGATAGAACTTTGCAGATATAAATCAGTTCAGGGCTTTCCAACATTATGAAAGAAAGCATATGCGTATCTCTGCAGTCACAGTATCAAGGCATGAAGCTCTATGGTGTTAGTCCCCTAGTGTAAGAGAAATCAGTGGTACCAAACTGACATATTTTCATCCTAATGTATTTTTTACTGCCTCCAACAGAGGCTGTCACACAGAAAAGCAAAAAGTTGTTTTTTTACTTTAAAGAAATTCAACTCAAATCTCAGAGAGCTCCCAGAGAACAGCTCTGGTCCAGTGACCTCCTCTGCTCAGATTAAGGTGGAAAGGGGAATAGGCGGGGATCACTGTGGCTTTCCAGAGCTCCTGCAAAACAACACACAGCACGAAAGCACAGACAACTCAACAGTGCTCAGACTACAGGAAAGAATCTGGAACGCCAAACTTGTCAACGTGCCCTGATATCACCTGCTTTAACTATTTAAGGATATCTGTTAATTAACATGCCTTGTGAATCCACATTAAAGATATTTTACATTAAAGATATTTCTGCCCTTTCTGCTTGCAGAGCAGACTATGATAACACTCTACTAAAGCCACAGCATAAAGCAGGGCAATTTACAGCTCCAAGGCACTTCAGAACACATTTAAACTGAGGTTGTTTAGTAATATGAACACAGTTTTACATGAGCAGAGCTTAGAGAAAATACAGATATAACAGGAAGAAGAAACCAGAGAGAGAAGAGGAGAAGAAAAAAAAAATTGCAACCTTCCATTTTAAAGCATAGACTCCTTTGAGTATTTGTCCTGCCCAGCGCACACACATAGACCACCAGTTTTTCTTTGGAGAGGTATGCCTCCTGCAAGTAAAAGTCTATTGCAGAGGTAAGACTCTGAGTTAAGATGCTAATACAAAACAGATCAGGGGAAAACAAAACATAAGAATTCAAAACTTACCTTTTCCAAGATGAATTTGTTTAAATAAGGCATATAACCCTGATTGGAAACTGGTCCTTCATCATCATCTCTAAAGTGCTCTTCCAAGGCCACAGGATCATGGGGAACATTCAACACTGTGCACAAATTGTGAGAGAGGACCTAAGAACAGAACAGAAATCAGTGATATCACTATAGACCTTAATTCCACTGCATTCCCTCCACAGCAGATCTGCAATTCCATGAGACTCTGCACAGAAAGTGAAGCATGAGCTTCACTTGTAAACATGAGCTTTGCCTTGGGTATTTTTGTTGGAAAGCAAAATATGGGATTATAACAAGTTCTTTACTAAATAGGTGCAAACATACCATTTTTATGCTTATACCAACGCATTTGACAGCCTGAAATAAGCAAAACCACCAAAGTAATTAGACACTTGGGGGGAAATGACTAGCAACCTCTAGTCTTTGAAACTATAAATATTCATTAACTAGGAAAACAAGTCATGAAAGAAACAGTTCAATACGTTCCTTAAGTTTACAAAGAAATGACCACTCAAATTAAATGCTTGCTTTTTGATTACTTCTCAGCATTCATGCTGTGTTTCAGCTGGTAGAGGAAAAGCAGCTTCACAAAAAGCAGTATCACAAAAAGGGGAAGGGTTTAGATGTGCTCTTAAAAGTTTTTTTTTTTTTTTAAAAAAAAAAGGTATTTGCATGAATTATATGAGGAGTTTAATGCCAACCACCCTCAAGTCTTTCTTGAGAAATGACCTTCAAGAAGAGGCTACATGCTTGATTAGTTTTAAGGAAGTACAAAATTACTGAAAACTGACTGGTAGTCAATGCGTCTTAAGTTTTTCAACATAGGCTGTGTTTTGCGCACACAAACTCACACCAGTGACAGCAACACCAAACCTGAAGAATGGCTATTTCTGGGCCATTAGCACATTTCTAAGACAAGGTGCCCCTTCCTTTGCCTTTCACACATTCCTGTGTGTTGGGTTAGTCCTGTGACTTTCTCCCAGACAGGCCTTTCACTTGCTACAGACCAGGCATCAGCACGGGAAGTGGGTTAAGGAATTAACCCCACATGTCCAAGAACAGCTCCATTGCCAAACGCAATGCCACACACACACTTTTTTTTTTCCCCCAAATAAAACAACCTCTGTACAAATCTACTTTCCTTATAGATGTTAGAAGGCATGCACAAGTCTAAGTACCGATTAGCACAAAAATCTCCAAAGACATCTCAAATATAAATTCAGGGGACTGTTCCTCTACACACATCTCCAAAGTTGCATTTTCTTTTAGAAAAGCCCACATTTCCATGAGAAATATCTGTTTTCTTACTTGCATGCTGAAGTTAAGCAATTAGATCTAGCCACATGCAAAAAATTAAGAACAGAAAAAGAAGAGCATCAGAAATACTACAAAAAAAAAAAAAAAGCTGTATTTCCCAAAGGAATATAATTTTATCAGCAAGTTTTCACATTTCATGTTTCTCTCCATCAGGTGTCTATTCCCCTTCAATGTACACTTACTCTTAATTAAAAATAAATAAATAAATAAATGAAGCATTTGAGTCTATGCGATTTACCTGTGAGGGAAAACTTGTATTACGCTTCCCTCTCTAAGTTTTCTCTTGTGATTTATGGAAGATAGACATATTCTTGATAAAGATGAACTCAGTTTTACAACCAAGCTGTCACTAATAAAAATATTTTAAAATGTAACTGATTACTGATTATTATTTATATTACATATAAACGAATTATTACCAAAATTACTTAAATTCTCAATGAAACACTTTCTCACTGTGTACTTTTTTGGCAATTCTCTTCTCTCCCCCTTAGTTTTCTTGCTATGCCTTGGCTGCCACAATCCTATGTATGTGGTTTTGGCACCAACCAACTCATTACCATGAAAAAAATTCCACTTCCAATCATTTTCTAAAATCTGCCTTATCTGCGATCTCTCCTATGTTCTTTTCATAACTCAGGAAATTCCTCAACGCCTGCCAACACTTGCCAGTCTTTAATGCAGCCAAGCTCCATCTGAATTCTTCAGCTGCAGGTTAAGTTTGAAAATATCTGCACTGAAATCACATTTCATTTCTTAAATCATCATAAAAGCTATTTTAATGATCATTTTTTAAAAAAGACTGACAGTTGGAAACTAGTTTAATTGTGGTACAGAAAAGTGTGCCTTGTCTTGCAGAAGCCCTGTCAGTCATGAGGAAATTTTCCACCCGTAAGAGTTATTCTCCCTGTGCCCACAGAGTTGCTAGGCAGCTTTTTCTTTCAGCACTTATTATGCTCTGGATGCCACGATCAGCCATCTACCTTCATACCAGAGCCAGCTCCTGACCTAAGCCAGAAACTTGTCTGTGTTGCAAGCAGATTGATAGACCAATCCTTCCCAAATTGTAGTCTATGAGTCTACACAGTGCAGTCTGCAAAAGATCCATAAAAATGGTGTGTTATTGGCATTATTTTTCTATTTTCAATGAAGAATTCTGTAACAAAGTCTCCTAGTGGTCCCCGGGAAATAGTGAAGTTTAGCAGCATTTTGCCACTCAGCTGAAATGAGCAAGCTGAACACCAGAGGGTCAGAAAGCACCGTGGACCCTTGTTACAGACTTTGGATTTACTTCACTCATTCCCATTTTCATGCCGCTCCACCTGGAGTATCGAAGGCCAGCAGAGCTCTGCTTCTGCACAGCTGCTCCCTTTTAAGCTCTGATCATTCCAAGACATTATCTCCCAAAACTTATGCACACATGCTGAGTTGTTACCATGAGTAGTTCCATTTAACCTTGTCCATAAAACTGAGCTGCATTTCTAAAAGCCAGAGAAAAGTCTGCTAGACAATTTATTGCTCACTGACAAAAATTTGGTCGACCCTTAGCAGAAGAGATTAGGCATAGAGTGGCTATTAACAATTTCTTCAGTACTTTTTTCTTTTTCCTTTCTGTTTTTCGGAAGGATTGGGTCTCCTCCCTCCCATCTCTTTTAAAGATTTTAAAATGCTGGTATTACAGAAGCTGACAGCTCCATTCAGGGGCTCTGTGCAAGTCCATTCCAAGACATTCTTGGCTCATCTCTCCATGACATCCATGTCAGCAGCTTGCCAGCCAAAGAAGCTTACTCACAAGGTTTCCCTTTTGCTTTCTTTTATCAGCGTGGACACCACTACCTTGCAGGCCAATTGACACAGGCATGGGGGATTTCCAATGAGGATATGTCTAAGTACTCATTTTCTTGCTTCATAATACATCTAAGAGGCTGCCCCTACCCATCCATGTAGCAGATACTTTATTCAGACATTTCACGGTTAACATCTGGGCTTCCGCAGCATCCTCTTTTCTGGTCCTGCAGAGAGCATGGCCAAGCTCTGACAGCTCATGAAGCTGGACACGAAGTTAGGGCCACTCTCCTCACCTCTGCTGCCATCACCTCACCACTCAGTTCCTTCATTTGTTCCTCCTTTTCTAGGACAATGCATGATCATTTGCCATCATTACCAATAGCTTCACCTCCCTCGTCCCCTCACCACCAGAAAGTTTCCTTTGGACCTCCAAGATTTCAGAATATTTCAGAATATTTCAGAATATTTCAGAATATTTCAGGTTGGAAGGGACCTCTACAGATCATCTAGTCCAACCTTCCTGCTCAAGCAGGCACACCTACAGCATGTGGCACAGGGTGGCATCCAGGCGGGTTTTGAAGACCTCCAGAGTAGGAGACTCCACAACCTCCCTGGGCAGCCTGTTCCACTGCTCTGTTACCCTAACAGTAAAGAAGTTGCTCCTCATCTGGAGACGGAACTTCTTATGCTTCAGTTTGTGGCCATTACCCCTCGTCCTATCGCTGGCCACCAGTGAGCCAGATAAACTTATTATGATTATAAGATAAACTGGTGCCAGTTGGCATCTGCTGAACTGTCACTGGAAATGCCTTTCTCTTGTACAGCACTTAGGAAGAGCACCTAGCTCCTAAACCACATATCTAACAGACCTTTCTTCAACTTGTTCTTTGAAATCAGTTGACAAAACCTCAACAATGGTTAAATGGACTACCTACCTACTGAAAGCTGCTCCTCAAGATCAGTAACTCACCTCAATCTACGAACCCCCTTCCTTTGCAAACCCTTCTGGATGTGTGGCACCCTTCCAAGTTGCATTTGCCCAGCAGCTTATCACCAGGACTCCTGCTACAATACTGCAAATGCACTTGATTCCAGTTAATAACTTACCAGCACAACTCTCTCAGAATGAGTCATAATGACTAATTTCCTACCATCCTCCAATGTTTTACAAAGTCAATTGTCCTAGGGGTCCTGCCCATTCGTCACAGATTCTCAACCTTTCCAGTTCTTTACAGCATTGTTCAATGTCTTCCTCTCTCTTCGGACAGTCCCTGTTGGTCCTGATTACACTACTCTTCCTCCTCCCACCAACTACTAACTTCCCACTTAGCAAAAAGGCAAAACAAAAATAAGATGGTAAATAAGTCTACAATTAAAGACTAGTTTACATTTTCTACACTTGACTAGTAATTTTGGTCACCCACATTTTCTGGCTCAAATAAGGTACTCACCAAGTATTAACCACCCACAATCTGCAGCTATGGATCAGGAATGCGAGACTTTGAAAACGTAGCCCAGTGGTAGCAAACAAAACACAAAAACAGCCAAACAGTCTCAGTGCCAAAACAGAGACAAATCACAAAGCAATACCAGGAACAGCTTCCAGAAACAGTGTAAAAATTATTTGGTATTATTTCCAAGATCTAGTCATACAAACATACTACAAGGCTGCTAAGGGTATTGACAATTTATAACTACAATAAGTTCACTGAGATCTGGCTAAAAAGCAGGCTGAATGTTGACACATTGGAGAAGCTTTTGAAATAAGTCAATTTTAAAATTGCAGACTGCAAGAAAGGTGAATCCAAGTGAAATACAGGCACACAAGTATTCACATGTAGCTTGTACATGCTGCTGTAAGCAGTCAGGTGAAACATGGTCCACACTAGAACCAGGACAACAGCTAAAACTGCATCCATATAACCATAACTTTAACCTCACTATATTGCTGTTTGAAAGTGCCCCTGAAACAAATGGACAAATTAATAAACGTGTTCATATGTAAACA